GCGGATTGACTGTGCTAGATGTTACGTCACGACTTTTCTGGGCTTTGTACTGAGACTGTGTTATCACTTTTGCAGATGTAAGAAGAGAATGCTGCACCAAAGAACTTGTTCAAAGCTGATATTGATGTAAGTCTTGTTTTATAACTTTCTAGCTGGATATTTGTTGTTTCTCAGCTAGGTTCTCCTAACGGTATTCTTGTAGCTAGGATTGATCAGAGAGTTTGTATATTGCTAGCAGAGTTAACTTGTTTAGATTGTAACACGTACAAGAGGAAGCTTAAAGAAACTAATGTTTAAAGAGAAGAATTTTTACTTCTCCAATGTACACACGAGGACCAATGCTACATTGAAATAAGATGTTTTACCATTTCTGGAAAACTCTTCAGCTTGGAACCTGAGCTCCTAGTTATTATCTGTGGTCCCTCAATGCTATTAGCGAGTTTTGATGATCTCTAAAGATATTTCAAAAGCTTTTGATGTTACTTAGAGATTCTAGGGCATAAAAAGAGCCGGTTCAGACACCTAACGAACTCACCCCTCTCTCCTTTGTTTATATTACATTTGTTTATATTTGTTTATATTTGTTTATATTACATTTTGTGTCCACATATTACAACCACCAGCATCACACGGAACTGTTTTAGTGTCCACATTTTGCAAATCGAACGCATCAGTATTCTGCAGTTCTATGACTTCTCTCCAATTCTCTCCTTTAAATTTGCCAAACCCCTTTGGCTTGCCATGGATGAAGAAGCGATGATCTAGTGTTTTCAAGGCAACTTCGATATTACCTTTAAGTTGAGATAGATCTTCGGTATTTCTGTTGACCGTTTGGTTTTCAAAGTCCCAGAAGATGGTGACTCCATACTTTTTAATAAAATGGTCTGATGGCTCTTTGGAACTAGATGCTTTCGTATGAAAAAAAAATAAAAAAAATAAACGAAATTACTATCAGATAGAACTGAATTGTGGACTTGCATGGGTATAAGTTTATTATTTTACGATGTCAATCAATTAAAAATGGAAACCGACTTGATTCTAAAACGATATATCTTATACCACCTCCAATGGAAGATCCTTAATTAGCAGAATTTTAATTAAAAATTCAATCAAAATATTGAAAAAAAGAAAGAGAATTAAGAAGGACTCTTAAATAATAGCATGAAGAGGGGCTCTTAATACTTATTAAACCCTTCTAAGCAACATGTCTCTCCCATATTGGTTTATTTTCTTTTTAAAATTAAAATTTAATTACATAACAAAATAATCATTTCTTTTTATGTTTAAGAGACTCTTTAGAAGCACTTACCATTGGAGACGTTCTTACCACCTCGTTTGCTTGACCACATCTTGTGTTTGAGTTAGAGAGACTTGTGTGTGTTTGAGTTAGAGAGACTTGTGTGTTGTGTGTTGTGTTTGTGTGTCTCCATGAGGTTTATATAGAAGAAAAAAACAACAAATTTTGAGAAATAGAGAAAGGGATCAAAACCAAAACAACAAGAATGAATTGGATTCGAAAGTAGCGGAGGGTTTTGAAAGTAAAGAAAGAAACGTCAAGAATTTGGTTCTTTGTTGTAGTGGAGGATATGATTCCTTGTTGTAGCATAAGTTATCATTGGTAAATGAATGATCTTTAGAACACAAAAAGGAAACAAAAACAGAAGATCAAAGTTATTATAAGTAAATTCAAAGTTATTATATGTGAATGATCTTTAGAGCACACATAGGAAACAAAGAGTCATTCTTTTAATTTCTTCACTCTACTTGCATGATATAGAAGCCTATGAATTTGAACCTAATCTATGTGATTAGAATCATGAAAAGGAAGAAAAAAAAAAAACCAAATTGAACAAAAAATTAAAGCCTGCAGAAGTCAGAGAGGACAAAAAATTTCACCCTTTTTTTTTGGGTTTGCAAATCGAGCACCGCCAAAAGTTAAAGCACCAAAGATGGATCGAAGATTGTGTATCCAGAGCTAGGAAAATCTCAAGAACCATACGAGGACGAGAGAAGAGAGGATAAAAAAGAGAGCAGAGAGAGAGCAGAAGGATTCGAAAATGTTAACTAAGATTAACTCAAAAAGAACTGAAATACAAAAAAGAAAGTGATAACCAATTAATAAAGCCATAACTTTAGACAAGTAGTGTTTATTTTTCAAAGTCTGAGACGCAAAAATGCGATATACAAACGCAGGACATAACTTTAGACAAGTAGTGTTTATTTTTCAAAGTCTGAGACGCAAAAATGCGATATACAAACGCAGGACAGTGGAGCAGTTTATTTTTTTTGGATAATTGATGACCCAATTAGCAGATATCATGTTTTCTGTGACTCATGATGATATAAATTAAATCATAAAGCATTGAAAGAAAGATTCTATTCATCAATGAAATTACTTTCGAAACAAAAATGCATGATGGGATAAAATAGTTGAAAACAGAATAAATAACAACTTAGTTAAATACTTTCGAAACAAAAGCAACGTACGGTGTGGGATAAAATAGTTGAAAACAGAATAAATCTATATATACATTTTTGGATGACTTTTAGCAAATAAATCCTGGAGTTGGAATGTATTTACAAACAATGCCATTGGAGTTAATTCTTAAGATTTAAAAAAATTAATTAAAGATATTATTCTAAAGATCGTTCCTCAAATCTCCTCCAACAAATTACTTTAAAAATCTCGATAATAACTATTCCGTGATTTACTGTAATCTTCAAATATATTTGGTATGATTTCTCATAATTAAAGATCCATCATTAATTGCAATAATAAATAAAAACAATAATTTCCTTTTATTTTAAAAACTTTCTAACGACAAATGTATTGCAAAATAAATAATTTCCTAAAACAATTACAGAACCTAATAACTGTTGTAGACTTTTTAGGAAAATAATTACGTAAATATATAACTTAAAGATAACAATTACTCATCAAATCTTTTTTTTTGTTAATATTGTATCATAACAAGACCTAAATCAATGGACTACTTATTCTCTATATATAAGTGAGGTTATTTAGTCATCAAATCAATGTGCATGGTTCCACTCTCGCCGTCCCTCAGCTCTGCAAATCATTTGCTTCATTTTCTACATGTCTTGGACTAAGGTTCTTCCTATTCTTCTTTGATTTGAATCACTTACATCTCTTTTTTTTTTTTTTGATAAATCATTCACTTTCATCTTTCTATGGCTTTATGTTTGATAGCCTCACGTTGAATTGAGGAGCTTCCCAGTGTATTCGGAAACTGGTCCTTCTACGTTACCTTAATCTACATGTTTTTGTGTTTGGACAAATGAGGAAATGATTCTGATTTTTATTGTTTTGGTATATTGGTTCATGTTTGAGTGTGAAAATATTTGCAGGGTTAACCATAATCCGTTGTAGCTTCTTAATATTGATTTGGAGATGCTCTTAGTATTGATTTGAAAATTTTCTTTGGTTTGTTTACTAAAAAATATTTAGTGGTTTACCATCAAATGAAAAAATCATGTGATAAAATAACCTTTATAGATTAATCTATATTTATCAATTTTTTGAGTAAATTATTTTCTAAATATATTTATTTTAATGTAGATTAGTTAAATTATGGTTACTATTCGTTATTTGACAAACTCATTTGGCTATATTACTTATTTTAAACCAAACTTATTTTGGCAATAAATAATGTTTATTTATAAATTAGATTAACCCCCAAAAAATTATTACCAAATATATAAAGATTATTTATGTCTAAAGAATAATATGTTGCTTTAGATTATTATTATTTATAAGGTTTCAAATATTATAAATATTTTAACCTTATAAGAAGTATAAATTAATAATATTTAAAGTATCTATAATATTTAATTCCATAAAAAGTTTATAATATTAATAATATTTGAACACTACAAAAATTATAAATATTTATACTATGGAACCATTTAAAAACAAACTTTTAAATTGACTCGAATTATATGTTTTCTAAACAAATGTGTTATTAAAAAAAAATGATGTTTAATTTCACGGGACGAGGTTATATGGTGGGACGGGTTTAGATCGATAATAATACCGGAAGATATACCACGGGTTAAAATCCTAGAAATAATAATCAAAATTCAATATATAATCTTAAACACTAAACAAAACAAATAATATTAACAAAATAATTACAACTTAAAATTTAAAACTTTTTAGTTAAAAAGTCGACCCGCGGTGTACCGCGGGTTAAAATCTAGTAACAAGTTAATTTTGATATGCTCATCTCTGTGAAATCAGTATCAGTATATCAGCTCTGCTCTTCTGCTTAGGGTGATTCCTCCACATGTTTCTTCTTCCTCCGCTTCTGAGTTCTGACCACTGGAAGTGGGCCATGAACATATGCCGAGAGTCTGACCTACATCTAATAGGCATCCTGGCCATAATGCCGAGCTTTCGGGATTATCTAATGCGAGCCTTTTAGGCTCTACTAATAAAACATTGTAACCTCTCCCATTCATACAGGAAAGAACAAAGGTGAGGTTGATGTCTCCTTCTCCTTCTCCTGGAAAGTCATTTGAGATGACAATCAGACTTGGTGGTGTAACATAGACGTTCAGAGGAGTATCCATTTCCCAAAATAACATGTCATGTATCATCCTATCAACCCTCTCAGTTTTATTCGCAGGAGCTGTATATCAAGAGAGAGAGTTAGATTATATATATAAATATATATGTATATGCAAAGAGAGGAAGAGTGTTAAGAGAGCTTAGTGAAAAAGAATTCACCTTTGGGAACGATATTGATTCCGGCACTCTGATACTTATCCAGCAAGAAACCTGGGATCGGTTCCTGCTCAGTATAATAAGCCCATATTGACATCACACCATCATAACCTTTTTTCTCTAGAGCCAAGTCGATTCTCTGATAGATACTGTTAGGATCAAGATCACCAGGGAATGGGGAATCATTGACGTCCCAGAAGACGCCGATCCTAGGCCCTGAGACAGGTGGGATAGGATCTGCAAGAGAACGCATAAAACAATTACGAAATGAGAAAATAAACAATCGAATTATTAACCATTAATTTGACTATATATATGGCAGATCAATTAATTAGATATGCTAGTTAGGAAGAAATCTAAACAAGCAATTTTGAGATAGAAAGAGAAATCTTACAGAAGAGATCTTCTCGGATCATGGTTTTGACACTAGCAGAGTTAATGGTTTTGACGGGAGAGACATCAGGCTTTTTCACTTCCTTCTTCTTCCACTTGTGATTACTTACAGGGTATCTGATTTGGCTCAAGGAAACTATTCCAGCTAATATCCATCTTGGCCATTCTTGTGTTTTGAGACTTTCTTGTGCGATATCCTTAGGCTGTACTAAGAAAGCACAGTAATCTCTCGCATGCATAGATCTGAGACAACGGTAGAAGGAAATGTCTCCTTGGGTGTTGATGTCATTTGAGATTACGATCACGTTTGGTGGGCTTGAAGACTCTGCTAGAGGAGAGTCCAGTTCCCATAAAGCAATGTCATTTACCATCCTAAGAAGTCTCGCAGTTTTATCCCGGGGAACTGTACATCAAAAGGAGATATAGATTACATAGATATATAAGAAAAGAGTGTCTTAAAAAAAGAGAGCTTAAGGAAATAGGTATATACATTGGGGAACGAAATAGATTCTGGATTTGTCAAACTTGTCCACTATGTCAAGTGCGACAGGTATCTTATCAGCATAAGCCCATATTGACATGGCTGTGGAACACCTATATCCTAAGATTAGATTGATTCTCTGTAGATGGTTTCAGGATCAAGATCATTGGGGAATGGGTACTCGTGGACGTCCCAGAAGACGCCTGTCTTAGCTCCGCCTATGACAGGTGTGGTAGGCTCTGCACAAAAACGGACAAGGCATAAGCAATTACGAAATGAGAAATATTACAATAGAATTAAATGACTATATAGGACATGCTCTAGTTAGTTAACTAGTAAAGATGGCCAGATGAAATCTGAACAAGTAATTTCGAAATCATACCAGAGAAATCTTGCTTGTTCGAGCGATCTTGGAAGTTCGAGCGACAAAGGGGAGAAGTAAAGACCTGTGGTGAAGGGGTTCCTCTTTTATGGTCCATAGCCTTTCGTCCATCTAATAGATATGTAGAGCAACATAGTAGGTCTGGACGATGAAACAGCTGTTCTGACGCTTGGCTTTCAGGCTGAGGCTGTACTAAGAGAACATGGGAACCTCTTGAATTCAAAGCCCGAAGAACCCTTCGGGATTCCGTGTCTTGAGGGTGACTTTTCGAGATTACCATCAAATTTGATGATGATTTATGGTTGGATCCAACAATGTCCCGTAACATTTCAATATATGGAACTACAGAGAGAAATCATAGGTTAAAGACATACACATATATATAAGTAGAAGAAAAGAGGAGAGTAATCAAGAAAGTACTTACCCTTGTGATTGGAGTACTTGATTCCGGCATCGAACAATTCGTTTAGCTCGGTGGCTTCCTTTATCTTCTCACCATAAGCAAAGATTTCCAAATCCGAACAACGATAACCCATTTTCTCAAGAGCTGATTTGATATTCGAATAAATCAAATCATGCTTGATATCGTCAGGGATTGGGTAATCGTCGATGTTCCAGTAGACGCATGTGTAAGCACCTGCGAACCCATAAACGATTATGAAAAGGAATCAAAAGACCGATTACAACAGGATTAGAGATATCCATTAACCATGATTAATTCACATATATGACAAAGATTTCTTACCGGCGAGTTCTTCTCTTTTTGCTTTTGGCATGACGAAATGCTGGTTCCTGCTTCGTAACCTGATCAGGTCTCCGAAGGTCATCTCTTCGAAGCTCAGGTCTCCGAAGGTGAGGTCGTCCATGGTTTCGAGGCGCGACTTTTTTTTCTCTTGCGGGGTAAGAACAAAGGGAAAGTAAAAAATTGGGGCTGAAAAGATTGGCTACCCTTTCATATTTCGAATGACAGACTTGGCTTTTAGGCTTTAGATCCGTGCCTTGTTTTTCACCGTTGGATCTTTTTAACACATACTACCTTTTTAATGGTTTAGATGTGTGTATAGGTACTATGGTTGATAAACGATCTTTGAAATTCTGAAACGTTCGAGACATTATTATATATATAGCCCTTAACATGTATTTGCTGAAACGATATTTTCCTTTTCTATGTCCCAAACAAATTGATATTTTACCTGTTTGTTCAAAATAAAGAAGAAGATATTTACCTATTCTCTCTAATAAATAAATAAATAAAGAAAGGAGAACTTCCATATTATCGAGACATTATTATATACTAGATTAGGATCCGCCCGGTGGACGGGTTTTTAAAATTTTAAATAAAATTAAATATTAGTTTTTTAATTATGAATAGAAAATATATTTAAGAAATAAGAAGCTAAATTTTTAATTAGACAGAAGATTTGTTTATATATTCATCGTTTGCCTTAATACACTTATATCCATATCTATATTTTAAATTTGTTGGTACATTTATTATAATAATAAAATAAATTTAAATTACCAATCACCAAAAATTTTGCCAAGATATTCATCATTATTTTTAGGGAAAATACCAGAAAAAACTTCCAAGTTGAAACATTTTTCCAAGTAAAACCTCCAACTTTTTTCGTTCCCATATAAAACCTCCAAATTGAAAAATTTTCCTAATTAAAACCTTCAACTTTTTTCGTTCCCAATTAAAACCTCCAACTAATTAATTTTCTCTAAATAAACTTTCAAGTCGTCAAACTTGAGCCCGATCAATGGTTGACCAATGATCGCTGGTAATTTTGTTCGGAATAGTTAATAGTCGTTGACGACATCTATTTTTCGTTTATTTAGTTTCCAAAATTTTATATGAACCCTAAACATTAGAAAAAATGTATTCTAGTGTTCGTAATTAAGATTTTCATCTTTTCTATTGTAACTAACACATGTGAATTTTGATAACTAATTAAACGGAAAACATGTCGTTAAAAGCCGTTTACCGTTAGTTAATCATTGATTAGGCACAAATTTGACGACTTAAAAGTTTTTTTTAGAAAAAATTAATTAGTTGGAGGTTTTATTTGGGAACGAAAAAATTTGAAAGTTTTCATTGGGGAATTTTTTGGGGGTTTTATATGGGAACGGAAAAAGTTTGAGGTTTTAGTTGGGAAAATATTTTAATTTGGAGGTTTTTTTGTGGGATTTTCCCTTATTATTATTGTCAAATTGTTGACAAAAAAAACCAAAAAATTATTATTTTCAAATCTCAAAAAACATAGTTTTGCAGTTTCGCCTAAAATATGATTCCACAATTTCTTCAGAAAATATTTTATATATACACCAAAGGCAAACCGTCATCTTATTTACATCTATTTATAATTTAATAGTTTACCACTCAAAAATATAGGAAAATTCTATATAAAAAAAAACACACTTAAGTTTTGATATTCCAAAACAATCATTATTAGTTTAATATTCCAAAAGTTCCACTTAATTTCTTGTTTTCCCAAAAATACCACAAAACTAAAAATTAAACTTTCAACATTCAAAGCTAAACCCTAAACCCTAAATACTAAATCCTACCCCCTAAAACTATACCTTAAATCTAAAATAATCAACCCAAACCTAAAAATCTAAATCTTTGACAATCAATTTTTAGTAGCTTTAAATTAAAATTAGTAAATAATTTTTAGTAGCTTTAAATTAAAACTACTAATTTTTAGTAGCTTTAAATTAAAATTAGTAAATAACTTCCATTTTAATTTTATTGGCTAAACTCAAGACTTGCTTTTCATGGGTCACGTGCTCGACACATGTGTTTTCTAATCCTTTGTATCATCAATCTTCTCTTCAATTTTGTCTTTTCTTCTTTTCTAGCTGAATCAAAAGATTTGGTGCTTTGATTTCTGAATTTTGTATGTGAAATGTGAGCATTACATAATTCATAACAACAATGTGAAACACCTTCTGACCTGTTTCTGCCTCAGCGCATGAAGATCACCCACCAGGACAATAATAATACTCCATCACCAGACACCAGATCAAATTATCTCAATAACCTCCAGCGTTAGTCTTGTGATATTCGATAGCGAACAATGACCTTGGCCAGAGTAAAACACCACCGATTCTTGAACCGGTATTACAGGAGCTGTATCAACATTTAAACCAACTTCAGTGAGCTCGCGGAAATTCTGGAGAAGTTCAAGCATTGTGGACACCTTCATGTTTAAGAGATAAGCAGCTCTCAATCTTCTTAATCAATCTCTTTCACCGATTCGAAAGACAAATTTGACAAAGTTCTGTGAGATAATTGTTCTTGATGTCTTTCATCCTCGTCAGGGTTCTTAATTTAGGAAACTTTTCAAACTCTTTCTCCTTCACCTGAGGTTTTCGAAATACGAGTTAGGCAGTATTGACAGTAGCAGACTGGCTTCATTTAACTGTGGACATCCTGAGAGATCCAATATCTGATTGAGGGAACTAAGGCATAATTAGACAGGACGACATTAAGCTTTCAAAGACTCACCTATTTATCAAAACGAATCATAGACATCCAATATCTAAATATATGAAATGTAGGACAGACTTGGGTTCATACGCCGTCGTAATGAAAAAGTTGGATGTTTTATTAGCTACCAAGAGTACCAAATTGGAAGAAGTTAGATATTTCAGACATAAGGTCATCATTTTCTATCATACATCCTACATATCATTGAGAGGATTACACGAGCAGTGCACACCCAACAGCTACTAGTAAAGATAGATGGGAAGTGTAAGTGGTACATACGAAATTTTTTGCAAGATCTAATTTAACAACTAATAAGAGATTTCGCGCAAGATTCTAACCATGCTCGAGACCAAACTCCAAATCTGATAAGGTCAGACAATTCTAGTTTCGGTAATGCGGT